AAAAAACAAAAAAACCCAAACCAAAAACAAACAAAAAAACCCAAAAAAAAACAAAAACAAAAAAACCCCCAAACCAAAACAAACAAACAAACAAAAAACCCCCCAAAACAAACAAACAAACAAAAAAAACGAAAAAACCCCAAAAAAACCCCCCCAAAAAACAAAAAAAAAAAACCAAAAAACCCCAAAGTTTTTTTTCTCCTTGATTTGAGCACTCACAGATTACCTGGGACTCTTAAATCAACGATCCAAGTTAAAATCTGACAGGAAACATCTCCCCACCAAGCAGAAATAAATAAAAAAATAAAAATAAAAATAAAGAAATCAATACATACAGCCACGATGAGGAAATCCAGCCAGCACCAGGCATTGGTGAAGAATTTGACAAATCCATAGGCACACCACTTGAGCAGCATCTCCAGGATGAAAATGTAGGTGAACACTTTGTCTGCATACTCCAGGATGGTCCTGATGGTTTTCCTCTGCTCGATGTAAATGTCCTCAAAAGCCTGGGCAACAAACAGGGGGGTCTCATTTTTAGGGGATTTTTATTTTATTTTTTTTAATTTTTTATTCCATGGGGTCACCCCCAAATGTTACTGGGGTGGGGGGTCAGTATTTGGTTAGAGAGGAGCTGAGGACACAGATTTATAGAAAAGATCAATCAAATATAGAAAATTGGGGTTTGTTTGGAGGTGATGGGGTTGGAGGGGTTTTCCAACCTCAATGATTCTGAAATTTTGTGATTCTGTGAAATCAGACACAGATAAAATCTGACTTTTCCCCAGATTCCAGATTTGAATGCTCTTAATTTAAACCAAATTAAAAACACAAATAAAAGCTTTTCCAGACTCTGTGATTCTGTGAAATCAGACACAGATTCAGGCTGACTTTTCCCCAGATCCCAGATTTGAATGCTCTGTTCTTAATTTAAACCAAACTAAAATCATTAATAAAAGCTTTTCCAGCCTCAGTGATTCTGGAATTTTGTGATTCTGTGAAATCAGACACAGATAAAATCTGACTTTTCCCCAGATCCCAGGATCAGAACCCAGATTTGAAAGTTTTATTCTTAGTTTATATTGAACTAAAAATATTAAATAAAAGCTTTTCCAGGCTCAGTGGTTCTGGAATTTTGTGATTCTGTGAAATCAGACAGGTTCAGGCTGATTCTTTCCCAGATCCCAGGATCATAACCCAGATCTGAAGGCTCTGCTCTTAATCTAAACCAAACTAAAAACAGAAATAAAAGCTTTTCCAGGCTCAGTGGCTCTGGAATTTTGTGATTCTGTGAAACCAGCCTGACTTTTCCCCAGACCCTCACATTTCCAATCAAACCAGAATCAGAACCCAGATTTGAATGCTTTATTCTTCATTTAAACCAAACTAAAAACCATTAATAAAAGCTTTTCTACAGAACCACCATGGAGCTGTGATTTTTTTTTTTTTTTTTTTTTTTTTTTTTTTCCTTTTTCCCCAAATTTTCCTGTACAGAATTAAAATNATAAAAGCTTTTCTACAGAACCACCATGGAGCTGTTTTTTTTTTTTTTTTTTTTTTTTTTTTTTTTTTGCTTTTTCCCCAAATTTTCCTGTACAGAATTAAAATTCCCCCAAACCCTAAAGAGATTTTTTACTCACCAGAGCCCCACTGCTCAGGAGGATCATGAAGATGATGAAAGTCTCAAACCAGTTGTGCTCCACGATGAGGAAACAAGTTTTCCTCAAGGTCCACCACGACTTTCCCAGCCCTTCCTCAATATTGACCTGGCAGCATTTGCAGCGTTGCATGCAACCTGCAACAGGGACAGGCCACACCTCTCCTCAGGAAACTCTGCATTTCAGGTTTAAAAAAAATCCCTTTTTATATATTTATTATTTTAAAAAATTTATTATATTCGATTCTCACTGTCTAGGAGCTGTTTTGATGGTGCCAACGTGATAAAATTGCTGAGTTTTTGAGGATTTTTAGGATTGTTCTGCCAATTCTGTGCCTGGGCACCAGAATGAACATCAAAATTTGGGAGCAGAGCAGCTCCAATGCTCTTGAGGGGACAAATGGAAAAGTTGCTGATAAAATAACCTTGAACCATTTTAAAGCATCTTTGCCATGGGAATTCCTGCAAGGAAATGTCCCAAGACATCGAGGCCAGCTGCAGGAAAGGAAAAATACTCGGGCATCAGGAGACCAAAAATCATCATCTTGTTCTACCACAGAACCTCAGATTCTTTAGAAATTCCCCCTGAGAGGGTGGGGAGACCCTGGCTGAGGATTTGGGGCTGCCCTTGGATCCCTGGAAGTGTCCAAGGCCAGGCTGGGTGAGCTTGGAGCAGCCTGGGAAGGTGGGAGGTGTAAAATGGAAAAGGGTAAATTGGGA